GTGCTACAGTGTCGAATTTGGAACCAATATCCAGCACCTACTGAATTGTCCTTTGCAATAATTTTGCAATAATCATTAAATTTAAATATAATTACTGTTGTCTGTCAGTGCATTTGGCACACGAATGGTCCCACCTCCCTAAAATAATATCACTAATAGAAAGCCTTTACCATTTCTTGCTATGGTCCAATTTAGAGTAAAATAGACGATTAAGCAGGGTATGCTTTTAGGGCGTGACTACCTTGTGATTGACAAGTCGTTCTCAACACACGAAACTGTCAAACTGTTAAACCAGGCAGCGCTGATCAACTATGAAACAAGATTCTGTTACCGTGTTACCTATTTCTTTCCTAAAATCGTTCCAGAAACATATTTTAATGTACTGTTTAGCTGCTTATCTGCCATTATTTCCTGCTAGGGACGAGCCAAAACTGTGCAGCCAATGAGAGCAGCTTAACTCGCAGTATGTGACCTCCGCTGGCTCAGTCTAACTGTCATGGTGACGACCATAACGCCACACTCAAGGCTTCAAAACGATACTCCACAAACCAATCGGTGACGTCACGATAGGTTTACACTGAGATAACCCTGATGACATCGCTGTGACGTCTTCAGGGTCATTTCATCACCAATGACATTATACAGTAAACTGAACTTAATCTGTGTTACCTTCAAATTAGTGAACCGCACCTTTTACCTGTTTTGGGACTTAAAACAATCCAAAGTAAAGTCTGTTGGGGCGACATTAGCTACTTTTAACCTAGGTCACACGATTTAAATCTTACATGTTTGCTAGTCAGCTAATGCCAAACAAGTTGACTTTGTGAAGTTAACTTTGTTAAGTTAACTGCTAAATGGTAAAATACAGATAGTATTAATAAAAAAAAACATTACTTTTTAATTAGTTATTAGGTTATTATGATAATATTGCCATATAATTGCCATTCCATAAAATCTGTAATTGAAATCTGTGTGAGCTCGGCTAAAGGGCCAAATGACACTAGAGTAGTTAAAATGGTCAGCTAATTATTTTTATATGTCAATCCTGCAATAATATTAACCTCTGTCCTAATGCTTCTGTTAAAATAAATTGCTTGGTTGATTCAGGGAATTAAATCATGTGTCTAAGTTCATGTAACTTAGCTCAGTATGCTAAACCCTAATAGCTAGAGTTTGCATCAGCCCCATTTGATAACTTAAAATATTGCTGAGCTGTCAAATGTAGGTATGATTTACAGTACTGCACCATATGGTAAAAACATGACAGATATTGGGATATGATTCAGAATTAGTGTGGGAATAATCATTTCTGCCTCACAAATAATTAAATAATTAATTAAATAAATAAATAAATAAAGTCACAATGAGGTCTTCATCAAACAAGACAAGAAATCTAGACCAGGACATCTTTGTCTCACTTTTTTTACCTTCATCAAAACATTACATCTCTGTTGTTTCTGCACATTATGCAGCCATAAAGTAGTAACTTTCCCCCTGGGAGTAACGCGTTAACGTTACACACAGTCCCTGAGGGCTGGAGAGAGGAGGGTCTTTGCGGCAACCATCTCTGCCTCTGGAAACTTTTGGTCTGTCCTCTCCCCGTAGACAGCTCGCAATGATAAACCGTGGGCGTCTGCAGCAGGAAAAGGTGTATCTGGAGCAGCAGCCGGGACATAGGATGCCTCAGAGATAGACAAGCCTAATGACGCAACGGGTTTACTCAATACAGCTTGATATTGTGAGGGACAGGATAATACTTGCAGGGTTTCCCACGTTTCCTATGACCAAAAGCAGGCTGAGGACTCGGAAAGTGACAGATATAACGTGACAGGCGCACAAGACCTTCCCAGTTGTGGAAACAAGCTCCTCCGGACACCATGGACCAACAGACTTTCGTGATGGCATACATTGTATTACTTTTTCTACCTTGTGTTTTCAGTGCACGGTCGGTAAGTTTGAACCATCCTACTCACCTCTGTGTTTGTGGGTTTTTTTTTTTTAAATCAACGTTGAGTTAAAGTTAACTTCTCTCTCCGATTTCAGCGCATACTAGTCCCTGGGTATGAAACAGACATCTCCAAAGAGCCATACAGGGAGAGCCGGAAAGGTAGGTTTAACCTCAGTCCTTAATTTAGTTTAATTTAGAGGGGAACAAAGAAAGGAGGGATGCACACTGAAGTGGCAGTGATAGTGATTTATTTCCAACTATCTAACTCTAACTGAGAAAGTTGTTGCTGCAACATAACTCTGAAGCATGTGGAGGTTTGTATTGTACATAAACTGCTATCTAACAACATGATTCAGCTGTCTAAAGGAGGGGGATCTTTTTTTTTTTCGTTTCTGTCATCTGATTAGAGCCAAGGATAAAGTCAATGGAGGCTTTGTGTGTGGGGTACAGGGGGGGAACTGCACATATGTTTTTGAGTTAGTTTCTGATCTAACTTTTTTTTTTTTGCCCATTCAGTGAAAAGTCACTAACAGACTGTATTTCTGCCCCTGTTGCCAGTTCTTACTACAACAGGCAAAGAATGTAAGTTCCCATTTCGTCAGGGTGGAAGGATTCATCACCACTGCCTCACCATCCTATCCACAAGACCATGGTGAGTCCTTATTAGCCAGCCCTGTCTGAATCTATTGTTTTGGTTACACAGACAATCACTAATGTGTGCGTGTAGTCAATCAAAGTTACCACACACTTGCTTTCACAAAGAGACAACTCAGACACTCACTCACAAACCATAAAACGGACCGCAGGTGTCGTGTCACAGGTGTTTGTATGACTTGCGTTGGCATCACCTCAAGAAACAAACAGAAATCACTGGTATTTTTCATCATGCATTGCAGTAATGGCGGTGGTTTTTGCTGATGAAGTGTGTAATTGGGTTGTGTAGTCACGTATAATTATAGCTGGCAGTGAGGAGGGATTTATGAAATATAATGCAATTTTTAATGAGGTAATGAGCTAATTGGGTTTGAGAAATGACTCTTTGCAGAATTGTAGGTGGGCTTTGTGATGATTTGTGTGTCCTAGAATATAATATGGTGTTATTATAACCAGGTTTTTAAAGGTGACATAAGATAAAAATGTAGAAAATTCCTCTTAAACTGCGACTATAGCTGTAGTTTATAATACATTTACTTCTACATACAGTTTATTGGGGGGTGAATAAACAGCTGTCACAGTTAAACCATCATGTCAGATTTTTTATTACTTCACATTGAGACACGTCAACAAAAGTTTATTTTTATTACATTTTTATTCTGAACGAAACAAAACAAAAGACTTGCTGAAGGGCTTTCCAGTCGTCATTCCTTGGAATTGAGACAAGATGGGAGGTTGCCAGCAAGTTGGAGCAACATGAATGCAATTATATGTGGCCCAACATCTCTGGTCCACCTACACATAACGTTACTGCAATATGACCCTACGTGTTTCTGTGATGTGCTCATGAGATCAGTGTCAAGATATGTTTGTCATTATGTATGGCAGATTCAGTGAGCGGAGCAGAAATATGCTGATGTTACTTTGGTTGAAGTGGTGGATCATTGACAGAGTTCGTCAACTGAGTTAGTTAAGGTTTAGAGATATTTTCCTTTTTTGTTGTTCTTTTGAAAATGTTCATTTAGGGGGTGAATGAAATCCCTGATCATGGTCATTTGAAGTAATTTAAGTCATTTTATATCACAAAATACAGCACATTTTCAGAAAAATCTAATTGAAGAATTGTGAATGGATAAAACATCACCAGATAGTAATGTCTGGCTACAACCAACCAACTACAAATGTCAGCCAGCTGGTGGCGCTAGAAGCAATGTTAGAGAATCAAAGTCATTAGGATTTATTATTCAATGGCAATCAGTCCAATAGTTGTTGCACCATCTCTCACAGGTGACAAATTGATATAGTTTCACAATAAATACTGTCATATTGCCCCACCCTAATTTAATTACAAATGTTTGTGTAATCTGGTGACTTGCTGGTGACTGTATTATATTTCTGTCTCTCCTGCTGTAGGTGTTCCCTCACACATAATTTTGATCGGGACCGGCAGTGGGGCTTCTGTGCACCAGGGAAAACACAACCAGATGGTTAGTTTACTAAATACACAAATGCATTTAATCAGGCATCACATTATTTTGTCATCAGAAATACTGTATTTTACTTTTGTTTATCCTCTAACTGTGTTTTCTTCTTATTGATCTGTTTCAGTTTTTGTCCACACGTCACGCAGAGTCATAAATCCATGTCAGGTGAATCCGTGTCAGAATGGAGGCGTCTGCACGCCGATCCCACACAGACGCTCATTTGAGTGCTCTTGTCCTGAGAGCTTCACTGGGAGACTCTGTGAGCAGAGTAGGTACACTTGGTGATGGTCGTTTATGAGAGTGAATGATCACATATACTAGGCAATATATTACATTAAATATTAGGCCTTTTGATTCTTCTTTCCATCATTATTGAATTCAGAGTTTAGTGTCTTCATGTCAGTGTGCACATTAGGCTGCTTACTGTCAATCACCTGACAGCGCAGAAGGAAACAGACGCCTCTGTCAGGAAATGATTCCTTGTAAACATGTCAACTTACAAACTATCATCGTATTCGTGTTGTTTAAAGGAAACATTTGTTAACAGGGATAAGAGTTTAATTGTGCTCGATTTCACTTTATTTGAACATGATATGACGAAAAGTGAAGCTCATTCACTCATAAGTTCATTCTGGAACAGCAGTTTGACAAAATGATCGTAACTAAAGGTGTAACTATTGGCTTTTTTATGGAGCTTTCAACCACCTCTCATGGTCTTCATCCGTGAATTGAGTTAGGTTGGTTGAATTCAGTTGAATGTTAAATACTTTCATGCAACACATTCTTCAAAGTGCACATTAAAATTACGTAATCTTTTAATTTGAAATATCTTTTTCACCTTTAGTCAAGATAATGGAAAAAAGTGTCTTATGAGTCATTTGCAAATAGGTTTCACTTTGCATTCAAAGCCATTTAAATGTTTCACTTCCAAAGCAATCAAAAGTAAACAAAATAACAACCACACACAGATATGTATCCATTTTGAATGCATCTTGCACAGCCATCAGACTTTTCACTGCACGCTCTACTGAGCTCTTCAATCCCCTCTCACATTTCAACCTTCTGCCTTTTATGTTTTGTGCCGGCTTTTCAGAAAAGTGCTATGAAACCATACACCTGCGCTATTATGACACCGGAGAGTCTTGGGGACGAATTTACCTCCGTAGTGTGGAACAGTGCACATGTGTGGCAGGAGAAATCGAGTGTGAAAGTGTTCGCTACACAAGTAAGATGTGCTTTCAGCTGTTGTTATTCTCCTTCAACTGTGTCTTGTTTTTGCTCTGTGGTCCGCTTTTGTTGGGATGATGAGACTGAAACCTGATAAGCGGATGTACTTACAATAACACTATGCACTTCCACCGTTGAACTGATTGTCAGTTAGGTGAGAATAATTACCCAAATCTGCTGCAGACGCTGCATTTTTGACTACTTCACAGCACTATTCTCCATCTACAAATGGACGACTGAAGGACTTCCTTAGGTCTTTGATAGCAGAAGCTTTTTATCAAGCCACATAAAGTACAAGTATCAGGTCTCCTCCCAGCCCGAAGAAATGCTTTTTTTTCACAGCTCCATAGTTACAAGAGAAACCTTGCCATGGAAGAAAGAACAGATTATATGACTCACTGTGACTCAGGAATGGTGTTTTAGGACACACCCCATGGGTCCATAAGGTGCTTTCATCTCATTGGGGGGATGTTCATGAGCATTTAACAGATTCCCTGGCACAAAAGGGAGAGAGGTAGGGAGGTGGTTTCATGCTTCCTGAGCCAAAACTGTTTTTTGTCATGATGGTTGGGGCTTATCTTCCAGTTGCATTTTATCTCAATGCAATGGAATCTCCTTTGACTGATTTTATCTTTTGGCTCATTCAAACAAAAATGTAGATGACCCTTATTCACATGTGGTATCTTAATTCTCTGATACATTTCACAGATATTGCAATATATTTTAAGGGAATACTCAGGGTCAGATACTAGATATGTACTATGTTCTGTAGTAGAGCAAAACATGCTGAAAATGTAACAGTGAAAGTATTATCAAGATGATATGGCAAACATGTTGGCAAGCAGCAGCTTATTTACACAAGCAGTAGACCAAATCATGAGGGAAGTGTCCAAAAAGGCTGCTAATGCTCCACTGGATTCACCAGCTAGTCGCTAAACCAAAACAATCAGCTGAAAGACACTAAAACGCTCTGTAGAGTTGAGGGGAAATTCAGAGTTTGGCAATCATTTTATGTGGGTTTGTTACTAGTAGCAACACCTTCCACATTACACATAATTACACATAGTAACATGATTCATTGTTTATTTAAGAGTAATGATTAGTGCAGTTTTTACATCAACAAGCTCAGTGATGCTGAGATAGAAACACTCATAATAAAGCTGCAAGAATCCAAAACAATTAAAGAGGCTGTAAATTAACTCAAATAATAATATAATGTTTATTTATTGAGAGGTTACAAAACTAAAACAGTCAGAGACATTAAATGGGCCATAATCTATATATATTTTTAAAATAACAGTGTAACAATGACAGTCTGACAATATGAAAGGGTTTGCTCGTAATGAGAATTATCACCTGAATCTGTAGCTTCCTTCCACTTTATAGTAAGTTTAAACTCATTGTTTAGCTGTCCGCCTACAAATTTACTGTCTTGGTTCACTCTCACTGCTCTCATAGCGTCATTTTTTAGTATTTAACTGTATGTTTCTTGCTTAACACCAAACAGCCTTCCATCAGGAGCTCGTAGTGACCAAAAACTGAGCTAAAAGATAGTAAATATTGGACCTACATCAAGTAGAGGAACATATACAATATGTGTAGTATTAAGATGTGACCTGGTTTGCCTTTATGTGTCCAGTGTGCCGTTCAAACCCTTGTCAGAATGACGGAACATGTCGCATGATCATAGCCACCGGCAAGGAAGTGTGCAACTGCAGACGCGGCTACAGCGGACCGTACTGTAGCTTTGGTGAGTGAGAGCAGGACTGTAGCAGGTAGTGATATTCTTTGCCCTACTGTGTATCTGTTATATATGCATGTTTACACAATGCATGCATGTTCATGCATGTGTGTGTGTGTGTGTGTGTGTGATAATGGTTTGATGAATGGTGGCAGGTGAAGACATGAGCAAGCTGCTAAACTTGTACCCAGTTGTTGTAACTGCTGTTGTTAATGCATACACAGAGGTTTTTTAAAAGACTTGTTCTGACTGATTCCAGTCTGAAGGAAGGAGATCTGTCGTTGCACAGATACTCATCTGCGTCCGGAAATTGTCTTTCATGTTGTTTACGTACCTGTGTTATACTGCAGAATCGAGACATGATTGAGATGCATTTGTTTTGTGTGTTTCTGCCTGCTGTTTGTGTGTATGCATGCGTGTGCAGAGCCGGAGACAGAGTGCTATAACAGCAGGGGCACAGGTTACCGAGGGGTGGTGGGCACCACGGTGTCCGGCGCCCGGTGTCTGCCGTGGAACTCAGACCTGCTGTATGACGAGCTCCATGTGGGCACGGTGGCTGCCTCGCCCCTCAGGGGCCTCGGGGAACATGCATACTGCAGGTGTGTGTGCGTTGATTCATCTTGCTAATCAGCTCCTATTGTAAGACGTCTGGTGGCATCATGACGAATGAAAGCTACTTTTAGTTGAGTAGATTTTATGTTAATATTGTGGTTGCTACAGCACCATAGGGCTTATCTGCAACGCCAGATTTCCTTACACTTTAAAGTTTCAAATATCCAACTTTTTACCCTGAGCTAGCAAAGCTGCCCTTATCTGTCAAGTTCACGTGCCAACAGTTGTCAGTCATGTGGATGAGCCCTCAGATGACGTCTACTCAGAGGCAACCCGACACCATAAAACCACCATGAGCATTAAAGAAGCACATGGTGATTCCAGCCTGTGTATGATATAAAAAAAAAGGTCTTATCTCCTCCACATTCACTCTTCTTCCATTTCTTGCTTCTGTCCTCAGTTGTTGTTGTTGCTATGACTACTCCGCAGCCATATGGCACGCCTATAGCAAGTGAAATGCAAAATGTCCCAAACATCAAAGAAAATGTTAGAGTTCAGGCACAAACACACAGGCTCAGATTAACTGAAAGCCTCCAGAAAAGTTCACTTCAATGAAACATCATTCCCTATTATTAGAGCAACAAGCGTCAGAGAGCGACGGAGCCCCTGTGAGCCATTTAGCTACTGTGTTGTACTGAGTCATGTGTGGTGTTAAAAACAGTGGTGCCACACCTACACACCGTCCGCTGTGTTTCTGTATGTGCAGAAACCCAGATGGGGACAAGATGCCGTGGTGCTACACGCTAAATGACAGCGCCATCTCCTGGGAGTACTGTGACGTCCCCTCCTGTGTGATGTCTGTGTGTGAGTAAACGGGGCCCAGGAAAGGAGTTTTGTAGTCCTCTTTTGTATTATCGGTGGGACAGTGAATTTTGGGTGAACGTGTGTTAGAAATCATAAGGCGTTAAAGAACCTAATTGCATCTGTAACTCGTTTGTAACGTAGTTGGTTTCATCACTGAACGGGCGTACTTTGATGCTCTGCCATATGGTTATATCTGTTAACATGGCAGACATAATCTAGCTTGATTATGCTTTCATCATCTGCTCTGCTGTTTGTAAATCCTTGCCACCCCTCCATTATTAACTCAGCTCTTTCTATTAATTATTTGCCTTGCACTCAGGAATCTTATCAAGAATATTCATTTAGCTGTCCTAATTATAGACCCCTATTTGAACACTGATCTCATCATTATAATGCATGACAAGTAAGGAATATTCATCAAGTCCACTCGCCGCATTATTCGATATCTTCATTCCCTCAGCCTTGATTATATGACACAGTCAGAGACATTTGTCATCAACAGTTCAACACCTCATTAAATGCCTCTGCTTTTAATTAGGAATCTAGTGTTTGTGATAAAAACCGAAAGCGCGGAGAATACAGCTAATCTCTGCTGAGTCACGCCTTTCTAAACAGCTGAATTCAGTTGACTGGTTCAGTGGCAGAGCTTTTTTTTTTTTTAAAAAACGTGGGCTAGATGAGATAAGGGGAAATAAAGGCATGACTCATCCTCGAATCAACATGTCATGTCAGGTGGAGCCAAGTGCTTGCGTGACGAGATGGGATTTGGTGTACTGGGCCGTCCACAAGCTTTCTCCTATCTGCTGTGCCAACATATGATTTTTTAGCATGAGGGCTGCTCTATTAACCTAACATTGTCACCCTATGGAAGAACTTTTTTGTGTTATTGCAGGGGAGAAACAGCCAGCGGCAAAATTGAAAATATTCAGAAGAGGTATTTAGGAAGTGTGTATTCTAGCTGTTTGACGGAGTTGTAGCGGTTTAGTTTGTTTTAGCTCTAGTTCTTGTTGTAAAATTGTAGTTAATAGTAGCAATTAAGCCACTACGTTTAAAATAATCATGTGCTTTTAACTTGTTTCCTCATGCAGCTTCTTCTCGGAGGATTGTCCCATTTAATGTCACGCCTGTCAATAAAAAACCCAAACCCTCCAAGCCAGCCAAAAAGCCTGTGTGTGGGAAAAAGCACAAGAAAAGGTTATCGATTGCCAGGGGGCGGATAATGGGCGGTAACTCAGCTCTGCCAGGTACTCACCCCTGGATGGCAGCCATTTACATCGGACAGGCGGATTTCTGCGCTGGCACCTTGGTCTCCTCTTGCTGGATTGTGTCCGCTGCTCACTGCTTCTTCCGCAAGTATGTCATGGATGCACTTCTTGATATTTGTATTCATGTTACCGCAGAAAAGGCAAAGCTATTGTGGCCCTTTTTGAGTCGACATACCATAATGTTCTTTTTTTTTAAGAAAATGTGCAAAAATGTGTCCTTGGGAGCCCTTTTCAGGCTGTGTGTGACAGTATGAAAGCACCCAGTTTGAGTCAGCAATGAAAAAAGAACATCACGCTTCAGAAAACATTCATAGCTCAGACAGGAGAATCATTTTTCGTTACTGTTTGCTCCCAGTTGTGGCTGAACAAAGGGGTCGCAACTCAAAAGGCATGTGATGTAAAGACTTTGACCCCTCATCATTGCAGCTTTATGAACACGCTATATTTAGACAAGCATCCAGTTCGAGGAAAACCTAAAAATGTCTCATGCACACAGATGCTGTTTAGACTTCCCTTTTGATGTCAACAAACAGGCATCTGTTGTCGCTGGCCAAGTTCAAAGATCTTCAGCTAAAGCGTTACATCATTGAATTGGCCATCACTAGCAATGAATGGAAGTACAGAGTAGTTTAAGAGTTTAACAGTTGTTATATATATTCAGAAAACTGCTGTTTGAAAATGATACAGTATATGATATCTGCAAGGCTTTCTTTCTCATGAACATACTCTTACTGCTAAGCTGCTTTTTGTATCAGCTGGGATTTGGTTAAACTAATTAAACAGAACAAGAGTCCACAATGTTCATCACACCCCGCAGCACAGAAGTCATGAACATAATGAACAACATACTGGAGATTTAGCTATTATTAGAATCTTATCAGCGGTGTGGCTAAAAGTGTTCATATTTGTCCTCGGGGAAAGCCAATACATCATTAAATCAGGTTTTAAAGTGGAAAGGGTCAATCTTCTGGGGAGCATAAATGTACCAGACAGATTTCATGGAAATGTACCAATTAGATAGTAGTAGTGCTAAAAGGAAGGTTGAGGAGTCCCAGGATTCATCTTCTCCGGATCACCCACAGTGAATTTCAAGGACTCTGCACTAAAACGTTGGACAGACCGACGGTCAAACTTTAATACAACCGCACACCTTGCTGTACCGTTCAGTGATAAAAGTGTGTCTTCCCTCAGCCCCCTGAAGTCTCAGCTCCGCGTGGTGCTCGGCCAGCAGAATTTCAACGTCAGCAGCCCCAACAGCAAGACATTCGGAGTGGAGGAGTACATCTTTCCAAAACAGTTCTCAGTGTTTAATCCAACACTACATGACATTGGTAATCATTAACTGCACACACACACACACACACACACACACACACACACACACACACACACGTATACCAATGACTCACATAAACTACAAGACCTCCTGTCCCCATTCAGAAACTCATTTCAGGCCCCGGTCTGCGTGCACAGCTGTGCGTCACTGAGCAGCTGTGTCCCTGTACTCCCCCGCATAAATACATTCTCACATACATACACACACATACACACACTGACGGTTGGGTGTGGCATTTTCATTTGGCCAGCGGAGTCTCCAAGTCTACCACTTGGTTCAATTTTTTTTAAACTACCACTTTTCATCGTCCATTTGCCCCTTTCATTACACTCCGTGTCTGTTTTCCAGTTCTGATCAAGCTGAAGAAGCAGGACGGGCGGTGCGTGAGGAAAACCCCGTTCATCCAACCCATCTGTCTTCCAGACAACAGCATGACGTTCCCTGATGACTACTGCTGTACTATTAGCGGCTGGGGACACATGCATGAGAGTGAGTGAGGAGGAAATCATGGCGGTGCAGTGTAATTTCAGTGTCATCATGATAATCTGCATTAATCATTGGAACAGATCACAGACTGATTATTTGATACGGGCAGTGCAAAACCACTAAATTATTTACTTGTTTATACATTAAACCGTCAGAACCAGCATGTGTTTGCACATTAGCTTCACTTTCTGCACCTTTACATGGTTCTTAGGAACTGCTAGCTTGTTTCAAACTACTGATTTAGTAAATTGAGTTGTACCATTAAAACTTAAAAATGTCTTAGCTTGTAAAGACTTTAGTAATCCATAAATCAGTTGCTAGAAAACTGCTGTAGCGGCATCCAATCAAAAGCAATCACCTACTGTATGTAAGCAGGAAGTCACCGTAGCATCGCAAGCTATAACAGAACTTCCAAAAAGTTTTAGCATTATATTAAACTTAACTGTTTTATTTGTTTTATTTTTGTTCTATTTATACTTTGTTTTATTTATAATGTGTGTTTCACGGACATATTTAAAAATTCAGGCTACCATTATCGGCATAACATTTTGTGTTTTGAGTTTTGCTGTATAATTTTAGGGTTGCAACTAATGATTAATCTGTCAGTTCATCGATGAGTTGTTTGGTCCATGAAGTGGAAGTCCTCAAATTTCGTTTATCCACATCCTAAAGATAAATATTCACATTTGAAAAGCTGAAATCAGAGAATTTGGTCATTTTATCTTACAAAACGTCTCAAAACGATGATTGATGATTAATTATAAATATAACTGGTGATTATATTAATAGTTAACCAAGTGTCAGTTCAGATATGTCAGCTTTATTCCATGTTACCTAATTAACTCGTCACTTTAGACAGGCCGCATATTAGCAAACTAATGTCATTTTGTCTGCTAAGCTATTTCAGTTAGGTACACAACAGTTACATCTGGCAATTACTGGGTTTAAATATTTAATAACAACTAATCTCTTTGAAATTGGCTGTGCTAGAAAATGATGTGTTGTCACAAAACTTTATTAACTAACAACAATGATGACAGTGTAAATTGTCCTTCCCTGACAGATGACAACAAGGCCACAAGAATGATGGAGATGTTAAACCTGCGTGTTAAACTTGGTGTGTTTGTGCCTTTAATGCAACTTTTTTCACAGCAGCCATTTGGACATGAAATAGTAGGGTATTACCAGTTATACTAATTAAAGTTCAGATCCATTCAGGTCAGACAGAGTCAGGGTGCTGCATATTGGCGCTGCTAAGCTGAATGGAACAGAACCTTAATTAGTATAATTGGTGCAACACTGTTCGGGTTAAGGTCCTACTTTCTTGTAATGTGATGAGTTATTTGTGTTTTATTTAACAGAGGTGGAGGGCTACTCCAGTCTGCAGGAGGGTGGGGTGAGATTGATTCCTCATGACACTTGCAGGAGGCCAGAAGTTTACGGCAACCACGTCACTGCTGACATGCTCTGCGCGGGGCTCAACGGCTGTGTCGACGCCTGCCAGGTGGGAGGCTTTATTAAATCCACGGCTGGTTATGTTCTCCATCGTCAAATTGTTTGGTTTTTTTTTGTTCGAAAAAAACGAAACACGTTATGAGGATAAAATGTATGGAAATGCAGTGTGAATTATTGTAGAACATTGTAGATCCATGAGTTTGTGCAACTATTAGCTCGCTCATTTAGTCTGACATTCTTAGTATAAAGTTTTATACTTCAAGGTAGATTGTGTTGTTTTTGCCAAATGGTTTAATCAAATGTGAGGTCAGATGTGTCGACCATTCCCCCAATATTTATTTTACTTTTCTCTCTAAATGCTTACATTAGCTTTGTCCGTTGGTTCTTTTAGCTACCTAACATTTACACCAGGCAGTTAATAGGCATAAATAGGTACTAAAAAAAAAAAAAAAAAGAACCTTAATGTAAAAATACATTTTGTACTCCACACCATAAAACAGCTCCTATTTTTTTTATCTTATTGCTCTGGATTATTGGAAATTAGGACTGATAATAAAAGTATAAATAGACTCCTGGAGACTACACGGTTGTTGACCTCCTTCCTCGGCTCTGGAAGGGTCGATATCAGAAAGTTGACTCGAGGTATCGGAGTAATAGAGTGGCACTTAAGATGGCAGCAGGGATTCCCCTGAGTGAAGCTCCTGGGGGGAAGTTAGCGAGGGGTCTGAAAAACTGCAGAGATGTCCGCAGCGCTCAACCACTCAACCCACTGTGTAAAATATTTAAGATGCTTCCCCTTAAATGAAATGTCACAGTTATTTATTTACCTCATGTATTAGGTTTCAAGTGAGTGACTCAGCTGTTTGTGCGCCTCTGCTTTGATCTGGGCATGTATGTTTATGTGTGTATCTAATCATGTGTTTCCCCCCAGGGCGACTCTGGGGGCCCGCTGGCTTGTGCGAAGGATGATGTCAGCTTCCTGTATGGGATCATCAGCTGGGGGGAGGGCTGCGGCCGCTCTGGAAAACCTGGTGTTTACACCAAAGTGGTGAACTACATCAACTGGATTGATTCGGTGATCAGACGCAAACCCAAGGCTTCATGAATGGACATTATCTGGACATTAACTTAAATATATGAGATATTGTACTATATTGTATTCTTTACTGTTTCTTATTTGCTTTTGGAAGTTTATAGGTCATATTTTTTAACTGTGAAACATTTTGTGACTGAATAAACCCTTACTGACTTGATAACGCTTTGTCTTTAATGAATGGTTTTAGACAGTTTAAGACAGTTTTCCCAACTCAAGGTGCACTTATTAACTTTGTCCAGAGCTTTCAGCTGTATGGAGTTTGGTTAGTTGTCAGGAAGATGGATTAGTTATTTTTTAAAATTTGTCTGAGTTGTTCTTTAAAGATAAGCACTCAACGTTCATTCTTGGTCGTGAAACTTTAACCTAATGCATTTGTACAACCATGCAAAATATGTTTCACATATACTTATGTATGTGCAGATCATTTTAAACTCCTTGAACATGCAGCTGAAGCTCAGCAGATATCTTTGAAGTGGCCAACACTCATACTTCAGCTTCACTCAGCAGTCCAACCTCATTCAGTGTTTATACTTTTAACTTTAACTGGAACTTCAACCTTCTTTCAACACTTTAATATTTCTACTATGTCATATAAATATGTATAACTTCTAAGTCTTAACCTCTGCAATACCAGAATGCATTTCAAACACACATACAACTACACACTTCCACTATTAGCAGGTGTATTTTGCGACAAAGTTTACTGATAATGACAACAACAACAACAACAACAAAAACATGCATCCGTATATCTGTTAAAGCAGAGTGTGTACACATGCTTCTTAACTTAATATGAAATGTGGTATTTGTGGTATGAAAGTCATGTGGTTGTGTCTTCCAGTAGTTTTCCCTGAGGCAGCAGGTGGTGTAAACCAGCCCAGGTGGCAGCATGGTCGGTTGGCTGGTGTACACTGACACACACAGGCAGACAGTTAGACAGACACTGGTCATGCCATTTTCCGTGCGCCTTGCTGGGGGCGAGTTTGCGCCCCTCTAGCAGAGAGAGCAGCTATTTTGAAAGTGACCCCTCATTCAGGCAGCGACTCTGCAGCTGTCAGGAACCATGACTGAAGATGACGGATTCTGTTGTCGTGGAGGGATATGCCAGACTCAGAGATGGGAAAAAGGTGTTTAGCTCGACTAAATTTGCTGACGGATATGGCAGAAGTACCTCAGCGCGCTTTCATCTGTGCTTAAAAAAGTTTCTCTCTGCTTTTGTTTCCTTCCACAGTGGAAAACTAGGTGGCTCGTTCTTCGCAAGCCGTCGCCTGTAGCAGGTAAAAAAAAAAAACCAAACCAAAAAACAACTTTTACTGGTCAAGTTTACACATTTCACGTTGGTTTTCTTGCTCCGGTTAATATGCGGAGCTTTGGCGCAGTGCGTAATCTAATGAGTGCGCATTCCCAGCTGCGCCACAGTGGAGGAAGCGGTGCTGGAGGGACGCTGGTCCTCGCTAGCGAGCGTGTGTTCTCCCAGTTGAGTTAACCCCCTTGTTTTGATGAGGCCTGGCTTGTGTTCATATATTTCAGGAGTTGGGCCTTGCCTATGGGCTCAAATAAGGGTAAAAAAGAACATGTGTTTGTGTATTTACCCTTTAAAAACAGTACATGGGAAACACGTGTGGTTTGTTTGTAAAGTAAGTTTAGTAAAGAGGAAGAGTAAAAAAATTGCAAGGTTAAGGTACAAGAAATATCTGAAAAAATAAGTACTTTTGGGAACATTTAAAGTGGTAATTATCCCTAAATTTCCATTGTAAAAGCAGGGCTAAAATCATTTCAGGTAATTTGAATGCTTTAACTTTGAATGTCACAGCTGCTTTGAATCAGATGTAACTTCACTGTTTTATGAAAATTTAACTGCACACATTTTATTTTGACATTCTTAAATGTTTTTATCGTACAAATCTTTTCTGCTGCTTGAATTAGTTTTTCTCTCTCAGGTATACAAAAGCTGATATGAAGTTGATATTTTTCCCCATCCACAAAGTCTGTGTGCCAAATCCTGATAGTCCCTGCTGTATATTTAAAGCCATAAATGTCCTCTGAGTAAATTTCTACTTATTAAGTCACATGTATTGAGGAGGGCTTTGAGGTTATCTAACCCCTCAAATTCATCAACTTTCCTTTTTTGTCTTTTTATGAATAATAAAGCAGCAATCGAAGCGATGAAGTTGGCTGTATTGCATTACACAGAAAGCTTTCTTTGGATCTATCTGGTGCTGGACGGCTTAACATGCTCCACAGGTTAGGCTGAGGTTGAGCGCGCTCCTCTTCAGATCTTCAATGCCGGTGTTATCACAGCTGTCTGCGCTCATGCCTCAGTTATGTGTGCGTGTGTGAAGGCGAGAGATGCACACACGGACACCCGGTCTTGTTTTGTCAGTTGACCCTGATTGTTTGAAGGTGCCAAAAGACTAGAGGAGACTACAACAGCTACCGTGTGTCAGAATACATCTAATTAGTGTTAGTAGTGGGATTAATTAGGAGTTTTAACTGCATTTCCAGTTATTTCCTGGGAGTTGTTGTGTCTAAAACTGTCATTTTAACTGCATTTTAAGCACAGTCGCTATTAGACACAAGAAATATGTGTTTTTATGCTTTTGTTTTGTCTCCTACTGACTCCCCGACTCCTCCAGACTGCCTTGTGCTGCTGGTTTTTAAGGACAAGTCTGACAAAGCGCAGGGCAACAAGGAGAGAGCCAGTGTCACCTTGGAGGAGATCTGCGGTCTGGAAGTGGGACAGTGGTATGAAGGAGTGGCTTTTACTCTGGCCATCGTCTGCCTGAACCAAACTGCTCTCCTGGGCTTCGACAGCAAGGAGGCCCTGCAGGCGTGGGAGGTCCGCCTGCGATACAGCCTCGGAGAAGGTGAGGGGATCCGGCTGCACTTTGCTTCAGTGTTTGGTTCTTCCGGTGTTTCACATCCAGGGCTTTTTTTTTCTCAAAACCTTTCAAGAAGTGTAAATTCTTGATACCACGTTTGACCTCACTATTCTGTAGTGAAAACAGTTCCAAACATCCAGATTAGTTCATCCATCTTGTTGGCAGGTTTTAAAATAAACTAAAGTCAAAGGACCCTGCAATTTGCCAAACCTGTGAAAACAACAAATTTTAGTTATAAGTCAGTAAGTTTGCAGCTCTCACAAGTCAAAAAAAGCCAAAGTGTATAACACATAAACTGCCCTCAACAGCAGTGATATTGCCTTTAAATGCTGTTTAAAACTCTGTCAACCTAAAGTTTGATATTTTTGATTAGGGAACAGTCAGTAAGCTCTGGTCGGTGGAGTCCTGCCTGAGGAGAAGGGGGTCAGCAGTTCATGAATATATCCATGGGCCTGATATCTGAAGGTGATCAGTAGAATATTGAGTCTTGTGTTTCACCTGCAGCAAGGGAAACAAAGGCAGGGCACACGCTGCAGCTCCTCGACTGATGATTTATTTAAGCAAAGGGAACAACACGGTACAGAAGTCCAGCCGGGATGAAACAAAGGCATGAATAATTTACCTCTAAATCAAGGTGAGGTAGACAAGAGCATCATTTAGAAAATAATTTAGAAATATTTTAAAGTTGGAAAAGCATAGCAACACCATAGCAACGTGATCTGTCGTTAAGGGGTGCACATGCTGATCAAAAGTAACTCATATGTTCCATAATGACAGAAAGATGCCGTTAGTTGCTGATGTATTTGCTTTTATTTATTTATGGTTTATTTGATGGGGACAGACTGGAAACAGCTATCTGATGTAAAAATGCTAAAATTATGCCCAAATACTCACCTTTAATTCTAACATGAAGGGAATCTGTTGCAGGTTGCTTTTTAATGGAGAAAACATGTTCTGATCATATTAAAAATATCTACATTCTATCTATTATAAGTGATGAAAACTGTTGTAGGCTGAACACAGTACATCAATAGGCCTACAGGGGTTTAAGACAAGGAACTCCGGTGTTTTGTTTTTAATCAACGTTCTACTTTTATTTGATGTGAGATTAACCAGAATTTGACAGATCATCCCCTAAAAAAAAACTACAACTGTCGTCATCCTGTCACATGGTTTTGCTTCATCTTCCCTAATTAAAACAAATGAGTTTGCATCATGAAGAGTGCTAATGGTAAAGATCTTTTAGCAGATCGCATGACGCAAACTTTTAATTGCCATTAAATAACTTTTGTTATTTTTTTTTGTTGTTTACAAGTTTATTGCGAGTTATGTCATGTTGAGAATTATCGTTGTAATATTCATGTTCTATTAATTTCTGACAGAATTAAATGTTAATTTATAGCCAGGCGTCAAGACAACTTTTGCTGACATGTATACAGTCTGGTGTGTGGTTCTGTTATATAAGTTTGATAAGTGATAAACAGATCGGAGCTATGAATAGAATTGGAGTGTTCAGCTGGTGACTGGAGTCGAGCTGAAATTTCAAACAGTCACTAATGACAGTGTTGTTATTGTGTGCAAGAGGACGTGGTGCTAAAGACAAATTGCATCGCAGTTGTCCCTAACAATCTGGCAGGTGAGCATGTGAAAATATATGTGCATGCCTTGCTTGTATGGATGCACCTCTCTGTGTGTGTGTGTGTGTGTGTGTGTGTGTGTGTGTGTGTAGGCTTTCTGAGAGAGCTAGATAAGTAAGTGTGTGTGTGTGTGTGTGTGTGTGTGCGCGCATGGCCCAACGCATAATGCCACAGTGGAGTGTGTCCAAAGCCTCAGAAATGTCACCTGCCAGCCTGTGGGCCGAGGGCCACCGTACGCAGAGCTTTTGTTGTGTGTGTGTGTGTGTGTGTGTGAGTGACACCGTATGAATCTTTCTCAACCTGAGTGATGACGTGACGCGGCTGGCCGACATTTCCTCATCATTGCCTCCATCAATCTCACCTGGCGAAGTTTGTTCAGCAGTAAAAGTCTGAGCGCTGCTGGGGAACTCTGCGCACGCTTTGGCTGAAGTTCCAGAAACTCGCAGGCAGAAAGACACATTTAGTGCTCAGACATCCAGTTTTCTTCCTTGGTTTCTTATTAGCAACGATAAAACAGACCCAATTACACAGATGTTTTACGACAGGCTGTGATTGATTGTGTTGGGCTTTAGATCTGAGCCTGTTGTGTTCAGAGCTCAGCTTGCTGATTTCATTCTCTGCGTGCAGCTGTTTCTCCTTTTTTGTTATTTTTTTTTATTGCTGAATGAAATCAAATCCGTGCTCAAGTAATCACTGTGTAAGGACACTGTGTTTTCTGTCCAAAAGTAAAGTTGAACTGTAGCTATTTTCAACCTCTCTTTTCCCCTTTATGTCAGTGGATTTTGACCAGAATCAAAGGCACTTTTACCTGTAGAGTCGTCCTGACCTTCAGTGGATATAAAACATATTTTTACGTTAAATGTTAAAATGGGCACTCCAGTGACATGATGACATTTTGAGAAATACTTTGATAGGAAGGGTGTAACCACTCTCAAGCCTGTGCAGTAAATACGAAGCGACCACCATCAATTGGTTAGCCTAACTTAGCATAAAGACTGGAAACAGCTAGCCTGGTGCTGTCCAAAGGTAAGAAAACTCACCTACTAGCACCTCTAAAGCTCACTGATGTACAGGTTATGTCTTGTTTCTTTAATACCGACAAAAAGTAAAGCCTGCCAGCATGTTGTGGTTTTACAGGGATTGTAAGCCAGGCTGGCTGCTTTTTCCACTGTCTTCAGCCTTTATGCTAAGCTAACTGGCTTAACTTCATTGATGTACAGTTATGAGTGGTATTGATCTTCTCATGTAACTCTCAGCAGCGGAGTGAATAAATGTTGAGCTATTCCTTTAAACAGAGAACCCACTTTGGCAGTTTTGTCCCATCTGCCATTACAATTTTGATGCTACATTGACGATTGCTTTAGCATGAATTAAACAGGATTTTTCGTTCCTACACACCTCATTACAGTGAATGTCAACAAATTGCAAAAGACACGCTTTAGGTACTTCTTGGGCAGACTTTACTGGTCCAGTAGTGCAGTGTAGGAGAGCCACATCCAGAAAGACGCAAGAAAACTAAACTAAACATACTTCTGAAAACTGATTGATAATTGTTTGATTAGGTTTGAAATTTTAAGTTTGTCATTGGGCTTTCTTTATTGTTTGTTTAGTTCACAGATTCAGTGTTGGAGTCTTACCAGGAACCAAGTTGGAGAGTGGACCTGCAACCCTTCATTTGTGCAACAACTTACTGGCCCTCGCCCGGGATGTCCCTCCGGTTATTATCGGCCACTGGAACCTTCCAGACCTGCGCAGATATGGGCCTGTACCCAATGGATTTGTGTTTGAGGGAGGAACAAGATGCGGTTACTGTAAGTTTATTGCTCTTTATGTTGTTTTTATGCTGCATTTGGATATGTTTAGATTAGGTAAATAGTCCATTTAGTTATTATGTGGTTCCATAAACTGATTTGTGTTTAGCAGATGGTTCATCAAGGTAATTGGGTATTAGACTGAAACAGCACACTTGTGTTTGGGAAGCATGCAGGGAACTAAAAGAACTATAAAAACAATTCTGAGACTCATGACCATTTAGGACCATTTATGGACATTTAGTAAATTTAGTTAATATATTCAATACCACAGATAACTGTGTGGTTGACAAAAAGGGAAGGTATAAAAAACGCAACAATAATTAAAAGATTAAAAGTCACAAAACAAGAAAGAGCTTAAAAAAACACATTAAACATCATCTTCATCATATCATGACTATAATGACTCTTGAGTAAAATTGTGTTGTATCATTAGACACTAATAGCTCATTAAATCGCTATCTGAGGCATGATTTGCTCATGTCTTTCTCAAACAGACCAAATAATTACCGGCTATGATTCAAGATGATTCATTTGCAGCTTTCATTGAACAGTGCCTGAGAAAGAGAGGCTCCTTCCCAGTACGATGACTGTCCCAGTACAGTAACATCATGTGCAACTCTGAATCGAATATGTGGTTTACAGCCAGTTAGAGGAGGGGGAAAAACACCCTTTGCACATTATTTTGTTTCATTTTTGTAAAGTGCTGCTTTTCATGGTTTCACTGAGCTTACAGTTATGTTTTAGACTACTGTTTCCCAAACCTTGTCCTCCGTGGCTGCAATACAAGTGATGTATGGTGACTCTTTAATTGTTGATGTTTAAGCTTGGTCTCTTTTTTCCAGCCAGTTTGGTCAAGTTGACATTATACTACTACCATTACTTGAAATGATCCATTTTTGTCATCTCTGCTTGCTTACCAGCTAGTTTTCATGCACTCTTAATCCCAGTACATGGTGTTAACCTGGCTCAGGTCAATTGGGGAAACTGAGGCGTATCCTGTGCAGTCGACCTATTAAGCGGGTAGTTTAGTTGGTTATTGTGCCATTTAATATAGTTAAAGGCTATTTTTTAACCCTCTCTATTGGGTTCTATTGTTACATATTTTGGGGTTTTTGTTAAAGCGTAACAAGAATTGTTTAACCAGAATCAGTTCTGTTCAAAGCCAAAGCCAGACTCCATTAGCAAAAGCAACAATTCTGACTCACAGAACACAGGTTGCTGGTCTGCTGCTGCTTTGATCAGTTAGTTCAGATCCGGGGAGGGTGTACCCTGATAGGGAATTGTTTTAAACAACTTCCAACTTTGTGGAAACAGTTTGGGCCATTTCATACATCAAGCTTGACAGTGCCCCTGTGTACACGCCAGGTTCTTAAAGCCTGATCTCAACCCTGAAGCTCAACGAGTGCCCTGATGAATGCTCATGTGTGGAAGCAAATCCCCGGTTTTGAAATGTTGTAGAAAGACTAGAGCAGTGGATTCATGCCCATGGTTGTGGAGTTAGATGTTTGACATTCACACATGGGTGTAATGTTGATGTGTCATGTGTTTGGGTCCCCACATGTTTGTTTGTAACGTGGGTGTAATTAAATCCAAATCTCACTAATAAAACTGAAATAGTGGGCTGTTATTGGTAATTCAGTTTATCTAGATGAGTAATGGCAAACTCTTTTTCACTTGTTCTCATTTGTTTCTGGTGTTTTTCCTTCTCTGACTTGGTGGATTGAGCATAAGGGAAAACATCTGCTTTATGACAAGAAACCTGCTGGAGGAAGATTATTCAGTCTGTGCAGGATCACCCCTGCTGTGCCTAAAATTCAACATCATGCGTCACTCCAGAGAAGTTGTTTTTGAGAAACGACATTTATCCCAAAGCTCAGCTATAACAGTCTGTATGTGTCCCCCATGTTAAGGTAAACCACAGTTTACTTCTTGGAATAGACATTAAAGTAGAGGCGAGTGTGTGTCAACACCTGGAGGGGACAGAGACAGACATGAGGGGAACGCCAGAGACATCAGAGCGTTACAGACACACGATGACCTCGCTGGAAACATGACACTTAAGAACGCGACGTGTGATTTATTTAGCTCCATTAAATCTCTAGCAGCGAATCTCACATAATAAGAAGACGGTCGGACGTCGCTTACGCTTTCATGTGCAAAAAAAAAAGAGCAAAAGGAAAAAAGGAAATGAACATGAAGGTGCGTCTAAATGTTTGTGTGTTGAAGGGCGTGCATTCCTGTGACATGTAATCTCTCAGCACAGTTTATCCACAGCACAGGGAGAAGTGGTGTAACCGTGTCGGACCTCTCACTTCTGGTTGAAGCAGCTGGAGAACTGCGAGCTGCATTTGTCCGACCTTTTGTCCATGTCCTGCTTGATAGTTTATCCAGAAGGTTTCTCAAGGTTTTTTTAGTAGGAAATGTGAGCCAAGTAGCCAAAGTTTGATGGAGAGGAGATGTGTTTAAGGGCTCTTTTAAGCATTTACTGTACTGTATACAGAGATAAAACCCTTAGCTTAACTGGACTGACGCTATTAATCCCACAGGGGAAATTGCTGCGTTCCTGTAGTCCAGTCATACATGAATCACAAAATTAAACAAACAAAAAAGGATGCTTAAAGAGGTAGACAATAAAATAGATGAATGGAAACACAAATACTTAAAATCTCAACTAGACTGAACTGAAAACTAGATTTAAGATAAGGGAAAGCAATTCTGGAAAAATCATGCCAAACACCACGCTGAACAACACAACAAGTAATGTTGGCTATGTTGTGGGTTTGCAAACTGTAACTTGCATACAGAGAGGACGAGATCATTTCCCAAAGACAGCACACCAGCATTACTCACAACTCTCCAGCCACTACCGCTACCATCACAACTACAGCACATCTTGGCAAAGTAGAAAGTGGGCGAACTAGACCGTGGGCAAGTAATTTAATGTTATCTACCCGACACACAAATCCTGGCTGTAATAACAAGTAAGTGTTGTGTGGATCGGTTGTTTGTTTCCCGGAGCCAGGAGTGTACAAGCACCAGATCTTTTTTTTAAGGGCACACAGAGTGGAAAGCTAGCAGACCGTGAGGAGATATTCGCTGAACTTGAAAATGAATTGAATGCATTGAATTAGAATCTCATTAATCACATTACCTAGAATTGTGTATGCCACCTTTTTTCCTCCTCTTTATGTATGTTGTATTCTACACTAATGAAAACATACTTGTAAATATTATAGTCAATGTATGCCAATAGAGCCTCCTAAATGTTACACACCGAACCTTTACTGGATAGCTTTGTTTGTTAGTGGGTGTAGGTGGGACTAAACTAGACAGACTTGTTAAAACGTTTTATATAAAGTTGCACTATTAAGACATGTGTTGGAGAAGGTGTATGTGTGTACCTCTGAAGGAAGCTGGCACTGGTTCCATGTGAGTTTGTCTTGCTTGGATAACTTTGCTTGTGTAAGAATAAAAAAGGCCAGCCATGGCTCTGAGTGAAGACTCAAGTAAATTTACACTTCCAACGTACTGAATATAATTTAATTAGTTCTTTGTATGGATGCTGTATTTTATCACTTTTTAGAGGGGAGACCAGAAGGGTCCACTTGAGTTGTTTTTGTTCCTACACAGAATCTTTATCAGGTTGTAAACTAAACAAGCCCCGCCACCTGTCCTTTGTTGTGCTTTGTGGGTTTTTTTTTTTTGTACTCTAGCTTTTGGCAGTGCACCTGATGTTCAGTCTCCTGCTATCAAAAGTATGACATGAGTGCATGTGTTTCCTCAATATCTGAAGAAATTAAATGCAGCCTCAGAGTCGAACCAGAGCCGTTTCTGTGCCAGAGGAGAGTTTCAGATGAGATACTTCTTAATCAGATCCAGCGGCATTAAGCAATACATCTTCAGTTTCGACTGCTGCTGACCTTTGACCCTGCTAAAAGCCAGGGAAGTGTTGGAATTGTTATTGAGGTCTGCCTTGACATGGGTGGTCTGAGGGACAAGGTGACACAGCGACCCTTTTATTGGTGACACCTTGTAATTGACAGCCATTTGTATTGGCAGGGGTAGGTCAAGAGACCCTGTACGGAGCAGGACCTTTAGCCTTTACACTCTTTTAGATTGATTCAAACTGGAAGCAAGAAAGAGGAAATTAGATTTCTTTTTGACTTATTGTGAAATCTATAGAGCAGCCATGACCAGGGCTGGGTATCAAACCTCAATACTTTGAATGAATGAAAGAAAGAAAGAAAGAA